TTTTTTAACTGTTAAACCCCCTTCGTTTCCAAATTTTCCCTCGACTTAAAAAATCTCTTTCCAAAATTTTTTGTTTTTTTCAAAAAAAAATTTTGTTGATGACTTTCTCCCCCACCCCTCTTCATTTCTCTCTTTTTACATTGCTTCGAAGTCTTTTAAACCCCCTTTGCTGTTTGAGCCCACAAATCTAAAGGGTTTTCTCTCTGTCTTGAAAAGATATTAAAAAAAAAAAATTTTTCTTTATGAAATGTTAGAGAAGTTTTTCCCCGATGGTAAGGACCCCAAAAAGGGTAAAATTTTTTGAGGGGAAAAAACTTGAAAAAATTATGCTCTCAAAAATTTTAGCGATTTTTGGCAATATTTACGCCCCGGAAATTTTTGCCCATTTTGCCCCTATTTTTGGCCCAATTCCTTTGTTCCAGTCGACAAATCTAGCTATTTCTTTTGAACTCCATTTGTTTTATTGATTGAATACAAAAAACCCCGCCCATTTCCCAATTTTTAAAACTCCCCAATAAAGGGGTTTCGGGGAAATTTTGGCAATTTGGCCAATTTCACGAAAATTTAAAAAATGTTTTTTTTCAAAAAGGGGGGGGGCCCAAAAAATAAAACACTGAAAGACTTTCCTAACAAAAAAGGGGCATTTTCTTTTTTCTTTTAGTCATGTTCCGGCCCCCTTTCTTTTATTTCTCTTCCCTTTTTATTTTGAATTTTTTTTTCACAAAAAAAATTGAAGATTTATGTTTTTGCGGGACTACGCTTTAAATTGTAATAATTGTATAAAATAATGCAGGGCCCATATGTGCTGAAAATTTTGAATGGCTAGGTTTAACACTTATTGGAGGGTGACTTATTTGTTTACTTTGAACATCAGCAAAAATCGAACATTTCCTCTACTTTGAGCCCCAATTTCGAGGGACTTTTCAAAATTTTCAACCCTCAGGAACATCTCGTTTTTGGGAATAAGTCTTCCCTTTCTGTCAAATAAGACCAAGGGGAAAAAAAAAATACGTGGTACCCCGGGATTTCGAATTATTTCGTTCCAGAAAAGGCCCGGTTTTAAGTGCCCGTTTCCGAACAAATTGTTCCCATAAGGAATAAAGTAAATTGGGAAATTTAAACCGTTTCGACCCCCCAAGGGAAAACACTTTTCAAAAACACTTACAAAAAGACCCTGATTGCTTGCATTTTGGCTGTTCCTATCCCAAGGTACCACTGTTTCAACCATAAAAAAATATCGAAAATAAACCTCAAAGTCAGCCCTTTTAATTTAAAAAAAACAGGGCACAAATTTTTTTTTTTCATGCCCTGCCCCTGGCTGAAGGAAAAATTTTTTTTTTTACTTTCGCACACTGGGCCCACCAGACCCATCCTCTTAAATTGTGGGCCTACCAGCCTTTTTTCCCGCTTGATTTGATGGCCCCTTTAATTTTGGCGTATTAATACCCTCAAAAAATGCTGGCTAAAAAGGGGCATATTTACGACACCAAAAAGTCAAAAATAAAACCCCTTTTTTTTCTCTCCATATACTCTTTCCCTCCTTGCATACTTTACTTTTTTGGAAAAAAATCTCTTTTTGCTAGCTTTTTTTTCCCCCTTTCCTTTTTCTTTACAAACATCATTCCACCAAAGTTTCTTTCTTTCCCTTTTTGCATCACTTTCCCGTAACCCCCAAAATTCTGCCCGAACACCCCTTTAAAAAACCCCACGGTGTTTTTAAAACCCCACCCCATACATCTTTCCCCCTTGCCCGTACCTTTTCCTAGCCCATTATCCTCAATAGTTTTTTTGTATTTTTACCCCAAAATGCCTCCTCATTTTGTTTATAAAAAATTCAATCTCTCTTACTCGCTGCTTCTATTTTCCCTTTTATCTCTTTACCTTTTTCTCTCCCCTGTAGCTCAAAATTAAAAAGTGAATCGTTTTTATCTGTTTTCCCCTCTGTAAACTTTTTCATCCTGAAGTTACTCAACAGTCTTTTATTTTATCTATTTTTAGTCCGCATTACCCACAATGGGAAACCCCGGTTTTTGTGATTTTCATTCCAGAAAAATCTGACGAAAAAAACCCAAAATTGCGGAAAACTGAAGCAATGGTTTTCCCTTTAAAAAATAATGTAAATCCAATTAATCTGTTCCAGACACCCAGAAGTATTAACAAAAAATACATTTTATAGAGAATAACTATAGTTTTACATACAGAAAACAATGAGAAATAAAAATTAATGACTAAAGAAATGGATAAATGAACATTTAGCATCACTTTTACTTTTATTGAAGACTTTTGTTGGCGTATAGAAGATGGTGAAGAGGGGAGAGGGGGGAGGAGAGGTTATTGTTTGGAAGGGGAATCCCCATCCATAAGGACTTCAGGTATCAAGGCCCTATCCTGGGTTATTTCCCTTCGTTGTCTTTTACTGGCACTAGGACCAGCTTGAGAGTCACTGGTCCCCTGTTTCATAAAAAATCTGTCCAGAGAGGTCTGTTTCTGGCATCTCTTGAAGATTTGCCTAAAATGGGACAAGGCATTATCATTGAACATATTGCAGACAGCTTGCAACAGCTTTCGTACTTTCCTACGAGTTCTTTCTTGAATTCTATCGTGTTTCTAGCCTTCTTTATCAAAGGGCTGGCACTTGGAACTTTCTTTGGCCCCCATGGTGGCTTATTTAGCAGTTGCACTCGATAAACAAGCATAAAAAACGGATTATTACGAAATGTTTTGGAAGAGCGCACAGGGTAATGCTCACTCAACAAGAAACAAAGCCATACTGAGTCAGAATGCGTGGGATGTTTTGTGTGGGCACAGGCAGGCGGGCGCATTTGGTATGGTGGACCATTGTCAACTTTATGTAAACCGAGCAGATGTGCAAAAACCGGGACAAAATTTCGATGAAAAAAGTCGTCGAAAACCAAATCCTACGAAAACCAGGGCATATGAAAACCAAGGTTCTACTGTACTGTCATTATGCCCTACATCATATCTTGTATACTTATTTATCCTCTTTTCTTAAAATATGTAAGTCCTATAACCAAACCCCTTTCTATACAAAGTTCAGTCAAAGGGCCCCCATTATCATTTACACCTGGCACCCCAAACTTACCTGCCACACCCTCTCTAAATGTTTCTCTACTTTATCATTTAGGTCCCCTACCATAGTTACTCTCTCACTTGGTTCACAAGTTCTTACACACTCCTTAACATCTCCCAAAATCTCTCCTTTACACTCCTCTCTTCTCCATGTGCATACACACTTATAATTTTGATCCACTTCGCATCCGACCCTTATTTTAATCCACATAATCCTTGAATTTATACATTTATATTCCCTCTTCCCCTTCCATAATTGATCCTTCAACATTATTGCTACCCCTTCTTTAGCTCTAACTCTCTCAGATACTCCTGACTTAATCCCATTTATATCTCCCCACTGAAACTCACCTACCCCCTTCAGCTTTGTTACACTTAGAGCCAGGACATCCAACTTCTTTTCATTCATAGCATTAACAATCATCTCTTTCTTATCATCCACGCACATTCAAGCATCCCAGTTTTATCAATTTTTTCTTCTTCTCTATTTTAGTATTTTCTACAGGAGAAGGGGTTACTAGCCCATTGCTAGTTTTTTTTTTTTTTTTTTTTTTTTAACAAGTTGGCCCTCTCCCACCAAAGCAGGGTGACCCAAAAAGAAAGAAAATCCTCAAAAAGAAAATACTTTCATCATCATTCAACACTTTCACCTCACTCATGTATAATCACTATTTTTGCAGAGGTGCTCAGAATACAACAGTTTAGAAGCATATATGTATAAAGATACACAACATATCCCTCCAAACTGCCAATATCCCAAACCTCTCCTTTAAAGTGCAGGCATTGTACTTCCCATTTCCAGGACTCAAGTCCGGCTATATAAAAATAACCTGTTATTCCTTTTAGTAATCATTACAGGAAAAAGGGTTACTAGCCCTCTGTTCCCGGCATTTTTGTATGTGTAGTGTGACCTAAGTGTAAGTAGAAGTAGCAAGACATACCTGTAATCTTGCATATTTGAGACAGACAAAAGACACCAGCAATCCTACCATCATGTAAAACAATTACAGGCTTATGTTTTACACTCACTTGGCAGGATGGTAGTGCCACCCTGGGTGGTTGCTGTCCACCAACCTTCAACCTATAAAAGGGATTACTGGTGTGGATGTTACAACCTGGCCAGTACAACCAGTTATTTTTTCATATTAAAGCTTTGTTTTTTAGAGGAAGACTTCATTTAGATTTTTTTAAGAAAGTATTTATGCTAATCTGCTTATATAGTACTTAAAGGTTGTGGGAGTTATCTATAGAAAAGCTCTTCATGGAGCTTGGATCTGTCATTCAAATGATCATACAGTGATGCAGAATACCTTATCTGTGTTTATCTTCCTGACATTTAGTACAGAGTGCTGCTTGTTATCAGTGACTCTTCAAGATGCATGTTTTGATGCCAGTGAAGGACTTATGATCCAAGGAACTGGAACTACCCTTCTCTACCTCGGATCATACCTGATTATCTCTCATTTCCCAGACACTATATGGTCCTCTAAGGGTTTAGTGTCTTTCCATGAATGTAATACTACTAAGAGGCTTTGTTATGGACTGGACCGCAGGGATGTTGGCCCCCAAAACTTCCCCCTCTATGTATTGTCCATATATTGTCATATAGTCGGACTTGAGTCCTGGAAATGGGAAGTACAATGCCTGCACTTTGAAGGAGGGGTTTGGGATATTGGCAGTTTGGAGGGATATGTTGTGTATCTTTATATGTGTATGCTTCTAAACTCTTGTATTCTGAGCACCTCTGCAAAAACAGTGATAATGTGTGAGTGTGGTGAAAGTGTTGAATGATGACGAAAGTATTTTCTTTTTGGGGATTTTCTTTCTTCTTTGGGTCACCCTGCCTCGGTGGGAGACGGCTGACTTGTTGAAAAAAAAAATAGTATAAATTAATATCCTGTCTTTTCCAGGAATCATGTCATGTGTGGCAGTATCGTGCTTGGTGTGCCCAGTGCCAAGGACACTTGATTGGTCACCATACAACTCGGGGCTTGCAAGCACATCTTGGATTTGTGTTCGTGACAGGTAATCAAGATTACATAATACCCCTGTTTTGGTTAGTTTAGATCCACAGCAAATAATTACTAGTTCATTCTGATTTCTTTCAAACAACACTCTTGGAACAGTTTAATTTTTCTATCAAAACAGGTGCATTCTTTATTTTTTTTATGGTGTTGTACCCTGCAATTATTTTTAACTTTCACTATTAGTCTTAGAGCTTTCCTGTGGTGATTTCTTTTATAATGTGGCATTAAACACCAGAGCTTGCATAGTAACTCCCTTTGATTAGAATAAATGCTTCTGTGATTAGAATAAATACTTCTATGTAAGAGTAAATAGAGTGCTGTGTGAAGAGCAAATGTAGGTTCAGTTTCACATATTTTCCATACAGATCGGGACTGGAAAATAAACAGCATTCCTCATCCCAGTCAAGTTTGGTTACAAGCTGCAGATCTGAAGGATATTTTGATGCTGGAGCCCGTTGTAATTTGTCACGTAAGTCATGCTTAGTTTGTGTACTCTAGAGGAGAATACCTTGATGCTGTAATAATGTTGGTAGAATACCAACAATATGTTAGGTAAAAGGACACATGCAACATTTTATTATGGTATTAGTTGCATGTGTGTCCTTTTACCTACCTTGATGCGAGTGAAGAGCTTTTGCTCAAAGAAGCTTCATTTACCCCTTCCCTTTCTTGGATTAGCCCTAAATACCTCCCATTTCCCAGGCACTGTTTGACTCCTAGTGGGTTTAATGATTGGATATAGATTGCAGAATGTGGAAAATATTTTGAGTAGCTTTACTAGCTTTTTGATTAAGATTTATGTAATTTTTTTTTTTTTTTAACAAGTCGGCTGTCTCCCACCGAGGCAGGGTGACCCAAAAAGAAAGAAAATCCCCAAAAAGAAAATACTTTCATCATCATTCAACACTTTCACCTCACTCACACATAATCACTGTTTTTGCAGAGGTGCACAGAACACAACAGTTTAGAAGCATATACGTATAAAGAGACACAACATATCCCTCCAAACTGCTAATATCCTGAAACCCCTCCTTTAGAGTGCAGGCATTGTACTTTCCATTTCCAGTACTCAAGTCCGGCTATATAAAAATAACTGGTTTCCCTGAATACCTTCAGTAAATATTACCCTGCTCACACTCCAACAGATCGTCAGTTCCCAAATACCATTCGTCTCCATTCACTCCTATCGAACACGCTCATGCACGCCTGTTGGAAGTCCAAGCCCCTCGCCCACAAAACCTCCCTTACCCCTTCCTTACAACCTTTTCGAGGATGACCCCTACCCCGCCTTCCTTCCCCTACAGATTTAAATGCTCTCCATGTCATTCTACTTTGATCCATTCTCTCTAAATGGCCAAACCACCTCAACAACCCCTCTTCAGCCCTCTGACTAATACTTTTATTAACTCCACACCTTCTCCTAATTTCCACACTCCGAATTTTCTGCATAATATTTACACCACACATTGCCCTTAGACAGGATATCTCCACTGCCTCCAACCGCCTCCTCGCTGCTGCATTCACAACCCAAGCTTCACACCCATATAAGAGTGTTGGTACTACTATACTTTCATACATTCCCTTCTTTGCCTCCATAGATAACGTTTTTTGTCTCCACATGTACCTCAATGGGCTAGTAACCCCTTTTCCTGTAAAGATTACTAAAAAGAATAAGAAGAAGAAAATTGTCAAAGTGGGAAGTCTGAATGTGTGTGGATGTTGTGCAAATGATAAGAAAGAGATGATTGTGGATGTTATGAATGAGAAGAAACTGGATGTCCTGGCTTTAAGTGAAACAAAGCTGAAGGGGGTGGGAGAGTTTCAATGGAGAGGAATAAATGGGATTAGGTCAGGGGTTTCAAATAGAGTTAGAGCTAAAGAAGGAGTAGCAATAATGTTGAAGGATAAGCTGTGGCAGGAAAAGAGGGACTACAAATGTATTAATTCAAGGATTATGTGGAGTAAAATAAAGATTGGATGTGAAAAGTGGGTTATAGTAAGCGTGTATGCACCTGGAGAAGAGAGAAGTGTAGAGGAGAGAGAGAGATTTTGGGAAATGTTGAGTGAATGCGTGGGGAGTTTTGAATCAAGTGTGAGAGTAATGGTGGTTGGGGATTTCAATGCTAAAGTGGGTAAAAATATTATGGAGGGAGTAGTAGGTAAATTTGGGGTGCCAGGGGTAAATGTAAATGGGGAGCCTTTAATTGAGCTATGTGTACAAAGAAATTTGGTAATAAGTAATACATATTTTATGAAAAAGAGGATAAATAAATATACAAGGTATGATGTAGCACGTAATGAAAGTAGTTTGTTAGATTATGTATTGGTGGATAAAAGGTTGATGGGTAGGCTCCAGGATGTACATGTTTATAGAGGGGCAACATATATATCGGATCATTATTTAGTTGTAGCTACAGTTAGAGTAAGAGGTAGATGGGAAAAGAGGAAGGTGGCAACAACAAGTAAGAGGGAGGTGAAAGTGTATAAACACGTCAACTCCCAAGTATCTGAAAACATTCACTTCTTCCATACTCCTCCTCCTCCCCAATTTGATATCCAATTTTTTTTTATCTAAATCATTTGATACCCTCATCACCTTACTCTTTTCTGTGTTCACTTTCAACTTTCTACCTTTACACACACTCCCAAACTCGTCCACTAACCTTTGCAATTTTTCTTTAGAATCTCCCATAAGCACATTATCATCAGCAAAAAGCAACTGTGTCAATTCCCATTTTGTATTTGATTCCCCATAATTTAATACCACCCCCCTCCCGAACACCCTAGCATTTAATTCTTTTACAATCCCATCTATAAATATATTAAACAACCATGGCGACATTACACATCCCTGTCCAAGACCTACTTTTACCAGGAAGTAGTCTCCCTCTCTTCTACACACCCTAACCTGAGCCTCACTATCCTCATAAAAACTCTTTACAGCATTCAGTAACTTACCACCTATTCCATATACTTGCAACATCTGCCACATTGCTCCCCTATCCACTCTATCATATAAGAACATAAGAAAGAAGGAACACTGCAACAGGCCTACTGACCCATGCAGAGCAGTTCCATGTCCCCCCCCCCCCCCCGGATTAGACTAATGACCCACCCCCCGGATTATCCCAATGACCCACCCAGTCTGGTCATCCCCACTCAAGGATGGAGCACTGTACCAGACCCAGCAGTACAAGCTAGTCAGGTCCAACTCACTCCCACCCACACCCACTCATGTATTTATCTAACCTATTTTTAAAACTACACAACATTTTAGCCTCAATAACTGTACTCGGGAGCTTGTTCCACTCATCCACAACTCTATTACCAAACCAGTGCTTTCCTATATCCTTCCTGAATCTGAATTTTTCCAACTTGAAACCATTGCTGCGAGTCCTGTCTTGGCTGGAAATTTTCAGCACACTATTTACATCCCCATTATTTATTCCTGTTTTCCATTTATACACCTCGATCATTTTTTTTTTTTATTATCACACTGGCCGATTCCCACCAAGGCAGGGTGGCCCGAAAAAGAAAAACTTTCACCATCATTCACTCCATCACTGTCTTGCCAGAAATGTGCTTTACACTACAGTTTTTAAACTGCAACATTAACACCCCTCCTCGATCATATCCCCCCTAATTCTACGCCTTTCGAGAGAGTGCAGATTCAGGGCCTTCAGTCTATCCTCATAGGGAAGATTTCTGATACATGGGATCATCTTTGTCATCCTCCTTTGTACGTTTTCCAGAGCATTTATATCCATTCTGTGACCAGAACTGAGCAGCATAGTCTAAATGAGGCCTAACCAAGGATATATAGAGTTGAAGAACAACCTTAGGACTTCTATTATTTATACTTCTAGATATGAAGCCAATAATTCTGTTAGCTTTATTGCAAACACTAATGCACTGTTGTCTTGGTTTTAGGTTACTGCTAACCAGAACTCCTAAATCCTTTTTGCAATCGGTAGTATTAAGATCTACATTATTTAGTTTATATGTGGCATGGTTATTTAACTGTCCAACATTTAGAACTTTGTCTATTTGTCAGCCATGCCTCTACCCAGGAAAAAATTTCTCCTCCTATTCCGTGTGCCCTAAGTTTCCTCAGTAGCCTCTGGTGTGGAACTCTATCGGAAGCCTTACTGAAGTCCATATACACAATATCATATTCATTACCATGATCTACCTCCTCTAACACCTTAGTGAAAAAAGTTAGTAAATTCGTAAGACAGGAACGCCCCTTTTCTAAATCCATAAATGCAATGAAAACTTCCCTAGCTTTATCTAAATACTGTTCACATATATGCTTCAATGTAAACACTTGATCTACACATCCCCTACCCACTCTGAAACCTCCTTGCTCATCTGCAATCCTACATTCTGTCTTACCTCCAATTCTTTCAATTATAACCCTACCGTACACTTTTCCTGGTATACTCAGTAAACTTATTCCTCTATAATTTTTACAATCTCTTTTGTCCCCTTTCCCTTTATATAAAGGGACTATACATGCTCTCTGCCAATCCCTAGGTACCTTCCCCTCTTTCATACATTTATTAAACAAAAATACCAACCATTCCAACACTATATCATCCCCTGCTTTTAACATTTCTGTTGTGATCCTGTAATATAGGAGTGAATTGGTCACAACAGTAGCAAGTTGATAATAATATTGTTAATTTGATAATGTTAGAAATTAGGGATGTGCCAAAGGATCGGTATCAGTGAGTGCCAGTTGTTTTTGAGGTATTGGTATTTCTGAAATAGGGGCTGATACAAGTTGATATTTTCAAAATAGTAATAAGACACATGTGCTTAAAAACATTAAAATTAGCACTCAATTTCATGATTGTAGGTCACTCACACTCACAGCACATACACTTCGACTGGTTATCCATGATTTTAAAGAACAAAAAAGCACAATACCATGACTGGAACAATACACAAATGACCCACACATAGGAGAAAGAAGCTTAGGACATAATTGTAAGCTTCTCTCTCCTATGCGTGGGTTTTTTGTATATCAAAGATTTTCTGGAGCATAATAATAGGACATCATTGCTCACTGTATGCAAACAGTGAGCCACCTCAGTCACTCTCCTCTAGCCTGCAGTAAACCAGAGGTCCTTTAACTCTTTCAGGGTTTTCACCGTACTAGTACGACTTATGCACCAGGGTTATTGACATACTAGAACGCCTAAATTCTAGCTCCTTCAAATCTAGCGAGAGAAAGCTGGTAGGCCTACATATGAAAGGATGGGTCTATGTGGTCAGTGTGCACAGTATAAAAAAAGACCTGCAGCACACAGTGCGTAATGAGAAAAAAAAACTGTGTTTATGGATTAAAACAGCGAATTTGCATGGTATTTTCGTATGGTATTTATGGTTGTATTCTAGTTTTCCTGGTCTCATTTTATATAATGGAAGACATATTACAGAAATTGAGATGATTTTGACTGGTTT